AAACCCCCATTTATTTACCGGTTTTTAGGAAGGTCAGAAAAATAGGAGATAATTTAAGTATAAAACGAGAATAAACTGTCAGAAAATTTTGAAACGATTTAAACAATGATTTTTTTACTATTCGCAGAGTAAACACTAACTTGTCAATATTTTTTTTTAATTTTATTTTATTTTCCGGGTTGCAGTCAGTTGCAAAAATAAGAATCACTAATGTACAATAAGAATGAGAACGCTCTCGTACGTTACTCACTGTACTCTGCAGCATTGATTCCAAATTTTTTTGAAACCCCCATTTATTTACCGGTTTTTAGGAAGGTCAGAAAAATAGAAAATATTTTAAATAAAATACGTAAATAAAGTTAAAAATACGATTTAAAAAACTGTTAAGATTAAAAAAGCACTTCAAAACAGCGACCGTCAAAGTATTTGTTTAAATAAAACGATTTAACATGGTTTAACAAGAAATTGGATTCCCACATACTTTTAAGTACGAGGATAAAATCTTGACTTACTGGAGTAGGCTGGAGTGGCTGGACTCCTGGTTCACCATCAGGCACATGCACATGTGCATCTCCAGGTATTAGAAGTGGATCCTGAAGATGATCCTGGGGTCTTTCGGGTGGACCAGGAACTTGAAAATCCACGCGTGGATTTACCATATTTATCACTCAAACTTCCACTTAAAACTCGCGTAAATATTTCATTAAATATTTCAGTTCATGCTAATAAATATTATCACAAGATCATCTGCATTCCCGAATAATGTACCAATGTAAGCACGAGCTAATGCCAGCGGACGTTAAAATCAGACAAAAGGAAGAAAAATGTCACTAGCCTAGTGTGAGAGCTTGCAGAAACTTAAAAAAATATAAGGTGTCTTTTCATGAAAGAGCAGTACTTATGAACTAAGAACGAGGGGACCTCATACACACATATATTATACACTACTGCTCTCCGTCCTTCTCCAACCATCCGCTAGGTGTCTAACCATCTAAATTAACATTGTCGCAAGTGTCATCAGCCTTACTGATGAGTCCTGGCGTGCTCTCAGGACGAAACATCAAACAATTTTTCTCTCTCTTCATGGCTTTACCAAGTATGCCATAGGCTCGTAACCCAGTGAGGCACCAAAGTGGCCGGCCACGGTCAGAAAGGTCTCTGCTGCTCTAGAAGTTGGTTTCTAGGTGGTTGGAAGCTCCTGGTATTTAAGCAGCCTTTAGTTTCCTTGATGGAAGTACCCTCTCCAAGAATTCATGGAGATGATGTGTAGGTTGTCGACCTGGGCCTTGTACGTAATATTGTGTCTTATGGATTATGGTATGGGGGCCAATCCACTAATGACGGCTTAGTGAACTGTTTCTTATTTTTTTATAAAATAAAACATGATACTTCAACTCGTCATTTTTCAATGAGTGTGATAGACTAAGAGCTAAGGCCCGAGGATGGTCAAAATTTAGACGAGCCGCCACTTTCACTAGAATTGAGGAACCCTGTGATTCGTAGAGAACCGAAATATTTTTGTCGTATTTCATTCTGGTGAAGAGTTTTATTGGTATTAAAAAAGTGCCATATAATCTTTTTCATAAACCAGCCGCATCTTAGTTTCATAAATATAAAATAAAAAGTTGTTACATCAAAATACTATTTGCGGCAAGATTAAAATGCATCTTGTATCCGAAAATCTTTGCTTTACAATAGTTTATTTCCAAAATCAAAGTTCCGGAAA